TATCGCTAAGGTTACGATATTTAATAGAAATCATGACAAACAAACGATGTTTACGATTAGATGTGTTATACCGTCAAATTGTAACAATATCAAACACGTTTTGTATTATCAAAGGAATTTACGTAGTTAATAAATAAACAAAGGATAATTTTTTCTAATTATGATGACTGAAAAATTTGAAAATTGATAAACAATACGTGATTTACGAGATAACAATTAAACCACAGTTAAATGTGTATTCCGAAGGAAACATATTTTGTTATACTGTAATGCACGTTGAAGTTGATACATTTTCAACAATTCGTGTAATGATAGAGCAGGTAATTATTTGTTACTGTGAGTCAAAGGCAAAATGAACTTTTATAGTTGACATTCATATGCTTCAGTAAATGAAGGTGTATCGGTTAGAGGTTTACTGGCTCTCGGTTTTACGAAACGCAGCCTCTGCACTGCGTTCATTCGCGAGTGTAAAAGGTCGAATGAGACAGCCATGATTTTATGTAAACTAATAGATTAATTGCATGAGAGCACCGAGAGAAAGTACACAAAAGTGTTTTCGCTGTACGTATAAGCACACCCAGCTTTATTCGTGAAGCAGCGGCATACAAGATGTACAATGCAGAGGAGAAGGAGAGAGAGAGAGAGAAGAAGTAGACAAGGGCTGAGGTTTCCACGCGATGGGTTTCCGTGCGAGAACAAGGCAGCAAGGAAATGTGGTTCGAGTGTGGTGTTGGTGGGTACAGTAAATATATACATCGGTGATGGCGGTGAGAAGCAGAAGAAGGGCAGCCGAGAACCGGAGAGGAGAGAGAGAAATTCTCCGAGCCGTTGGTAATGTCGGCTCATATGTATATATATACGTACAGAGCCCAGAGAGGATTCACATATTACAGGGAGAGAGAGAATATGTAAGAAGCTGCTCTCCGTGGCGTTACACCCGAGCGAAGGGAGAGTGCAGCCTGTGTGTGCAGCTTTTCTAGAAATATACCTACCTCGAGAGGGAGGACGGCCAGCATCAGCTATTCACGTGCAGTGTACTTTGACACTACCGCGATAAGCTTATATGCAACCCTTTTTGTCTCTGTGGGTGCAAATATACATACATATACACCACACACGTATCGAGATAGCAATGCTCACCGTTGGCTGCACATGTATAACGACTCGTATAACGACGACGATTTCAGGGGTCGATGCATTTTGTGTGTAACGTAGGTGCACCTCGTTGTTGCTGATAGCTGCGCTCAGCTTCGCGACGCCGGCGTGCGAAGAAGCAACAAGTTACGGAAGAAGATTCTCCTCCACGCGCGCCCATTCCATTCCCCTCGAGCGCGCGGTGCACGCCTCACTCGCACTTTTATTTCGCGTTCTCTTCGGCACACAGAGGCGGCAAAAAAAAGGGGGGGGGGTGGGACGAGAGGAAGAGAGAGAGAGAGAGAGAGAGAGAGAGAGAAAAAGTGATAAGACGCGCGTCGGCGTCTACGAGAGGGGTACGAGCCAACAGTACGCCGTCTGTGTGTAGCGCCCCCGAGAGCATCACGGCCAAAAGCACTTGGCGCATTCTTTCTCGCTGATGATGCGCTTATACATTCCTGCCCCCCCCCTCCACCGACCCGACTCACGACTTTTTCTCTACTTATTCTCACCCGCGCTCCTTCCTCCCTCTTTTTCTCGTTACGAGCTTCTTTTTCTCTCTCTCTCTCTCTCTCTCTCTCTATTAATGACGCGCGCGCGCGTTTTCTGCTCCGCTGCCTCTTCTCCCTCTTTTTTTCCTTCTTTTGTGTTAATAAAAAGCTCTTTTTCTCGCTGTAAACGGGGGAGGGGGGGGTGTACATTATAGCGAGTGAAATTTATCAAATCTTCCTTTGCGATATTATCGAGGAATAAAAATCGGGCGCGATTGCGTCGCTGCAACGAGCAACAATATAGTTTGCTTATTTGAAGGCGATCGTTGATGAACAGAGGAAAAATGTACGTTTTTTTTTCCCCCAATGGGTACGGAAAATCGATAACTCTGTACTGAAATGCAATCTGCACGAATTTCAGTGGGTTTCGAGTTTTTTTTTTTTTTTTTTTTTTCAACATGCCTGTCCAATTCGGTGTATAATTGAACAGAGAAAAAAAAAAAAAAACAAAAAAAACATCCCGACAGCAGAGAGTAACGGCATTATTTACTTGTCAATGGGAGGATGTAATATGCGTGCGTTTTTCTCTCTTATTTTTCTCTGCTCGAATCGCACGAACGGACCAATAAATTTAGACCAGTTGCGCCCGCTGTTGCTGGCGGATTACCGGGGTTATTGGCCCGGCTTTTCGGGGGATATATAATATCCATACACACACAAGTAAGCCGTGATCGGTCACTTTTCAAAGACAATTTATCGCAGGTCCGAAAAAAATAAAATAAATAAAAACTTAAAATACCTATAATAAGTGTGAGAGCCCTCGAAGCGCGGGTAAAGTAAATCCGGCTGGAGTCGAGCCAGCGTTTAAATGCGTGCGGTATAACAGAGTAGCCTGGCCATTATTTGCATACACGATATATATATACATATATAAGCAGCTGAAGGAGGAGGAGGAGGATGAAATTTTCTATACAGCTCTCGTCTGCTGCCGCAGAGAGGCTTTATTTGTACCTATAACTAAGTTGAGTGTGCAAAACGAGGGAGCACATAAAGAAAAAGAACCGTGCATCAGTGCATACATATATAGAGGCAACGGTGCACAGCCAACGAAAATTATGGCAGAGTATGAAAAAAAAAGAAAAAAAAAAAAGAGACCTTGCTTCTGCGCTCTTCCTTTTTCCCCGCATTATCCCTCTTCTTCCCTTGACTGCTGTTTTTTTCACGTGACTGGGAGCAATTTTCTATACACACATACACGCAAGCGAGGAAGAAGCCTGCCCGCCAACGCTGCCTTTTTACTCGACTTTGAATTCCGTCGAGGTGAAATAAATTTTTTTCCATCAAAAAAATAATTTTTTCTTTTTTTTAAAATTAGTTTCCGCGCAGGGGTGAAAGGCTATAAAAACGCGCGCGCTCGCGAAAGAGATAAAAGTAAGTAACAGAACTGGTTTTTCGCTCCTCGAACCGGTGGTGTGTGCGGAGGCAAACTCGTTTTGCCGCCGCCGCGGCTCACCCGGCATTACATTTATACATATATATATAACGGAACAACAAAGTCTGCGGAGCTGTTGTAAATGTACGTACATATCAGCCAAGGGGAGGAGTAATATAAGTGCTGGCTGGAATCTCGTAGATTTTCAGGGTCAAGCCGGTCGATTCACCCGCACAGCCTGCGCGTGCACCGATGTACAAGACAGTACGGCAGTGATGATCATCGGGGGCCAAAACAAAAACAACGAGCAAGTATACAGAATGGAAAGTGAGCATTTAGAGTTTATCGAGAATAAGTTGCTGCGGAGCTCTCTATCTCCCGTTCATTAATCAAACGCCCTGGGGAGTTGGTTGAACTCGAAGGGGGCTTTAATTGCGCGACTCTCTCTTTCTGCAGTGCAGTGTGTCTCTGCCGATCCGACGCTCGCTCGAGAGCGCTCGGATGAGAAGGGCGTCGCTACCGCCTCCGCAGTCGTCGTCAATAGCCCCGGCAGTTCGTCTAGTGTTCTACCCTCGGCTCGTACCTATATATAGTATATACACTGTCTCCCAGAATGCATACATATGCACCGAGCGTGTGTGTGTGTTGTGAACAGAGCGGCAATCCCGTGAGTCGATGAATCGCGCCCCCTTTTCTCCCCCCGAATCCTGCTACTTTCTCTCTATGTACAGTGCGCTCAAAGAGCCTCGCGCGTCGAATCGAGCCGGTGATAAAAAAATTGAACTCCATATGTATATAGTACGGCTCTCTCTGCTTTGACAATCAATCGCTTTTACCTCTCTCCATCTCACGCCCTGGTCTTTTATCACCAATCACCATTTGCTCGCTCGTTCTGCGGATACGGTAATTGTTGGGCAAAGGAAATTACGAGAGGTTAATTATCGAGTTTGGGATTTATTCGATTTTTCTCCGTAGGTAGCGCTTAATCCAATAATATTGCGAGGTTGTTATAGAATACGTTATTATATATATGAAGCATACGTAGGTATGTGATTTCAAATGGAACGTGTAACCTTTTGAAACACTCGACTGCGCACGAAAATTTTGGCACCCCGTAGCGCTCGCCGACCGGAAACCCTTTTTTTTTTTTTGTTGTTGAAAGCTGTCTGTGAATTTTCGCGTGTCAGAGTTTACAACGGGTGTACATTCGACGTGCAACTATTGCTCCAACGGTTGGTCCTGATAAAGTCGCGTACTTGAAATTTTCAAATCTTTCGTTAATTGAAGTAATGGGAGTGGTAGCCATAAAGCCCATGAGCAGTTGATTGCGGGAGGGACTTGTAAAAACCAAGTCATAATCCCTGGTATGCAAGCAAGCGTAAGAAAAAAAAAAATAAAAAAAAAAAAAAACCAAAAAAGGTAACGATTTGCAGGGAATGTTTATCCTTAAAGCTCTCGAGACCGGTCACTTGTGCTCCTTTTCCGAGGTCTATAAATATCAAGTTTTACGACCGCTAAAATTTAACGATCGCAAGTACAGATTGAGCTCGTGCACTGCTCATTATCGTTACGAAGCTACGGAATTGGAGCATAAGTATACGAGCAGATGAGGCTATACAGTCATCTAAGAGAAAGTATAATACAAGGCACTAAGACGAGCAGCACCATTTTACATACCTCTAAGGTCACATGCTAGGGGAAAACATGAATTTACCTTGCATCGAGTACATCGGAAATAGTACCCTTGGAAATAAACAAACATTAGAGAATCGGAGCAAGGCTCTAATTTTTCTTATCTAGTCGTGTGGCTGTACTCCCTCACGTGCGCTCCGCATCTGCGGGAGCAGTTACACAAGAGTTTGTGTTTACATGGAGCATAACCTCGAAATGACGAGAAAAGAAACTATATATACAAGTAGGGTAGACTCAAGTAAAAAACGAACCTCAGAACTTTACAGGTACAGTAACGGCGTGTGCATGGTCGCGAGTGGGCCCCTGCTGGGTATATGTCGGTTTGGTCGTGCGGCGTTGCAGTTGCAAGACAGCTGCGTTATACAGACACCAGAAAGTGGTCAGCCAGGCACAAAATCACTCTAAAACTGTGCACACTAAACGTGTAAAAGGGAAAACGATATGTATGGGTAATTTAACAACAAACTATGTCACTGCACACTATTCGATTAATTATTAACTTTGTGGTCACTTGGAGGCGCGCACATGTATACAAATAGTCGACTCCAATATCAACGGGGAAACTTGTTTTGGAGCAGCAACAGGAGCCTGAGCGGTGGCGGCAGTTACACATTAAATACACTCTCGATCGCGGATCGCGGCGGCACGCAGCTTCACTGCTGCATGTACGAATTCTTTTTTCTTTTTCCTAGCAGTAAGTCAAGTGTAATTAAATGACCGTGCAATTACGCCCTAGTATAGTATACACGTAATATTATGCTAATGTATCGCGTTTTCTATACCGATGTATACGTTCATCGGAACCTAGGTGATCCACCGTAATGGCAACGCGACCCGTTCAATGGCCGAATGCCGACTGGCGACGTGCGGGCGACGGGTGCGCTTCGAACACGGCAGACGGCAGAAGAGAGGAAAGAGGGGAGGAAAAGCGAGCGCCGCCACAAGCCGCCGAGCCGAGCGAGGTTGCGATCGAGGAGAGCGGCGCGTTGTTGCCGCCGCAGCTGTGCCCTGATGCATGCATGCTGAGCATTGCTGGGCCTACACACGGCCCCTTTACATCTCTCTCTCTCTTTTACGGAGTTCGGTGTTCGACTGGCTGGCTATTATGCTTAACCTTCGGCTTTGACAGCTTTCATTTTTCGTGATTTTTGGCCAATAACGGTTCAAGGGCCTTTTTCTTAAAGCAAAAAATCGGTTGGTGCATTTTTATAACCGTAATTTTTTCGCACATCTCTGTTCATTACATTACATATATTTGGAATAGAAGGAGATTCGATCCGCAACAAGTGTTGTAACGTTTTGCAAAAGCACTGCAGGTGCGGGGGGTAACGTTTTCTATTGCGTTCGATGCTCCACTTTTGAAAATTTGCATAATACCCCGATGACGACGCGCGCCGCATATAAAGTATATAATATTGTCCCCGCGTCGCCCAACGAATGCGCCGGCATAAGTGTCATGTAATTTACACGCGCTCGCAATTCCCAAATCGGCATTTCGAAACCGTTCAACGGGGAGATTATGTTTATTTTCCCTCGTGGACGTGAAATAAGCAAAGTTGAGTTTCATCCGTTTCCAGTTTTCTACGTCCAATAAAGTACACCTGGAATATAGGTATATGTACACACATTTATACGTTGTACATACATGCCTGCAGGAAACCGTATAGTGTTATTTTGTACATCTCGGCTCCCTTTATATATACGTATAGAAAGCGGAATCCGGGCATTCTCGGCATCCCGACGCGCAGGTGCAAGCCATAAACACAGCGCCCCGGAGAGAAAACTTTTCGACTTTGAATCGTAAAAGGGTACAGGTAGGTATCCAGAGACAGGCATCGGGACTGATAAAAATCCCCCATCTAAGTGGCTATGCAGGTATATACAATTGAGGTGAAAAATCAGCCCCGGCGAAGAAAGCAAGCGCATAAATATACCTACACCATATAAATATATATATATGGATATGTGCATGCAACCGGTGCGTACATACACGTATACGCGTAACCGTGCCAAGACATGTGTCAGCGATATTGGCTTTTGTCGGGAGCCGCTGGCTGGCGTTTACGCGCTGGTATTGCTCATATAACTGCTACCTAGCTCTATATTGTATACCTGTATATAGGTACACTTGGGCACTTGTACCGCGACACATCAAACGATCAAACGGCAGTGCTGGTGTTCGACAGCAATATGGGTTATTGGGTGTACACGCGGGCGGCTTTTACCTTTAAACGTATACCCCTTACATCTCGCTATACGGGCGATTATGATATCGCAGCGTTGACAGGGCTACACGAGAGAGGAGGGGGAGTCTAAAATAAAAATATATCCATTGAAGGAAAAATTCCCATTGTCATCGACACTTGTGGTGATCGGGTTATTGGCAGTTGAATCAAACAACGACGAGTTTTCTCTCCTCGTCACCTTCGTTACAATAAATTTCATACTCGTGCGTGGCAACATTAAGAAAATTGAGGAGCGAGTTTATTACTGTCCTATATAGCGGCAAACAATACCTATGCATATCGATCGAAACGTCCTTCGTCTTGGTATTCTTGATGCGCGCGACTCGCGTTATAATAATGTATATGTTGTATTGTTTGCTCGTCAAGTGAATCCGTTGTTGTCGAAGGACGAGTGGATGCAGCATCTGGTGTAAAAAGAGGACAGAGAGAGAAAGGGAGGGAGGGGCGAAAAAAACACAATTAAAATGCAATCTTGGAGCTGTGATGTATTTGCGCGGGAAAAGAAATCGAAGGGATGTGATCGATTTTCCCGCTTATGTACTTCTTGGGGGGGAGAAAAGGAGGAAATTTCGAATGCGTATAAATATAAATGTACGTATGGACGATTCGTAAAATTTCGAAGCCTCGGAGAAGCGCGAGCCCTTTCCCCGAGGAAGACGGAACCGTTATGGTACACACACACACATATATATATATATATAGTTACAGAGTGCACAACAACGGGCACCGACGGCCGTAATGTATGTTGAAAAATCGACGACTCGCATGTTCCATTGAAATCTACTTGCAAGTATACATGTATATAGATACGGGTAGGTACACACGTACACATGAAAGCATATATTATATAAAAGTTTCAATAGCACGTATATATAATACGTACATGTGCAGAGCTTGCAGCAGATCGTTGAGATTCTTGCGCCTTTTTTAGTATATATATATATATATATATATATATATATTACTGTTGAAATAAACGCTTGTAACAGATCATTTTCCATAAGATTCTGTGTATTCTTGTTAGTTAGCATCAACAACTTTTCCCCTGCAGGTGGTGTTGTTTCAAATTGCTGTATGGCTATCGAGTGATGCCATAAAAAGAGAGAAAAGATTGTTTGATGTTTCGTCCCAGGAGCACGCCAGGACTCATCAGTAAGGCTGATGACGTGCTCCCTGCCTTAGACACATATATCGGTGGGGATACCCTAGCTCAATCTTAAACGCCCTTGTATATTATCCAATATGAAATCCGGACACTTGCGAGAAGGTCAAGTTGAATGGTGAAACACCTAGCGGATGGTCGGAGAAGGACGGAGAGCCGAAGTGTACATGTGTGTGAGAGGGTCCCCACACACTCCCCCTCCAGTTACAAACGCCGGATGAAGGAGTCGATAGCTGATAAAGTAGATCTCTGAATCCTCCACGCTCTTGTATAGTCCTAGAGAGAGGCGAGCAGATGCTCTATAGAGTCAAAGCTTCGGCGGACGATTCATTTCAAATTGATAGAGATCAATTTTTTTTTTTTTCTTGCATTCCGTACAACAGACACCTTGTTTTCAATGAAACTAGACTCTGAAGTCGCATTTTAATGTCAGAATTGATTTTGGTAAAAAATTTCGAGTAAGTATAACAAATGACTAGTTTTTGCTGGCAGCCTGTTACTGCAATTTCCCTGTTTACCGACTAGTCGTTTGTTATACTGACTCGAAATTTTTTAAAACTTTTTACTAAAATCAGTTTCTAAAATCAAAATACGACTTCAGAGTCTAGTTTCATTGAAAACAAGGTGTCTGTTGTACAGAATGCAAGAAAAAAAAAAA